TGCGATTCGCCATTTTGAGGAGAAGCTGGTTAGGTTGGAAGGGATGATGAAGACGGGGAGTGGGAGGGGGATGGCGAGGGTGAGGACGGAGAGATTGATGATGTTCCAGAGATGGTGGGAGGACGAGATAGAAGAAGTTAGTTTGCTTTCTTAGATTTATAGATGACGGATTAATGCAATTATGTCTATACCTAATGATGGAGTATTGACCTTGGGTTAACACTACCTGGTTCCAAAACCCCTAACCACGAAGGCCTCAAGCCAATGTTGAAGATAGCAACGCCGCTGTAATGAAGGATATGCAACGTCCAGCAGAGAGCATATGTCGTTAAATCAGAAAAGCAACCTCAACAACGCCAGCCAATATAATATCTAATGTTTTTTTCTGAATATGATCGTTACCTTCCATGTTGAATCATGGACTTGCTGTAGGCAAGGTTAAACACGGTCAGCGGCGAAATCCAGTACCTCACAGTCGTCCTCGAAAAAACCGTCTTCGCCACCGGCCGGATGCTGTGACAAGGAGTGCTTTTTCTTCCTTCTCGTGGTGATGACTACCTCCTCGACATTGCCAGTACTGTTTCCCATGCTGATCAGGTTCTCCATCCCTCCGGCAAATCCCCGTTGATGTTCGGGCACCGTCTCATCGCAATCATCATCGCTACTGACGCTGGCTCGGCGAACGTGTAGCTTGGTCATGGAAAAACTGCCACCAAAGGCCCATTGACCACTTGGGACTGCGGGCGCACCCGTATCTGAATAAGTAAACAGATTGACCCTTTGATCTGTGTGGAAGGGTTGATAAGGCGCATTGGTTTCCAGTTCCGCCTGAGTCAGCGGCTGACACTTGAGCTTCGATGATGCGGAGGATCGCACATTGGAAGAGGGAAGAGCCAGGCTCGCGTGGACAGTCACCTCTGGGTTGAAGCTGCTCACGGCCATGGGCCCACAAGGACTCGACAGATTCGCAGGTAGCCGAAATTCGGCCTCCCTGTTTCCAATGATTGACTGCGGCTGACGTGATCTATGAGACGAGGAACGCTTGACCCTGTATAATCGGAAGTATCCGCCTGCTACTAAGGCTAAGAACGGTTGGCCCTTGTGCATAATCCAAGTGACACGCGATGGTGCAGGTTCTCGGTTAAGCCCAGAAAGGTGCAGCCTATTCACACCGACATGGCGGAGAGTATGGACCGTGCCAGTCGCAGCAGCTCCCATTGACTTGCTAAGGCCAGCAGCGACAGCTTTCCCACCAAGACCAGCAGCAGATGGCATAGTAAATCCAGCGGGAAAGGCGGCACCTGCGGGCGGTGCACGACCGCGGACGGCCTCGAAGATAGGCTGCGTTTTGCCACCAACAAGCTTAATTGCCGAGGAGAGAGGATTGCCATTTGTAGGTTGTACAGCTAAGTCTTCTGAGTGGACGTCATTCGTCGATCTCCTCGCGCGAGAAGGGAGAGCTCTGCGGAGAGGAGGCCATTGAAAGGCACTCCGTGGGAGGTCAAAGACATGCACGGTTCCCTGAAGTGTGATGACGCCAAGGCGATTCCCGGAAGGTGGACACCAGATCACGTCCACAATATGTGACTCTGTCAACCGAGAGTATCGCGCAACCTGACGCACAGTTGCAGAAACTGTCGCCGAGTCATCGGACATGAAAAGTGCAGCGCGGCAATACTTCGCTTGCATGAGATCCCACACATACTGCACGTCACCCTTCTTGCTTGCGGTCAAGAGCATTAGTCCGTTGGGCGAGAATGACAGGAAGCTGCAGCCATTCGGGACTTGAAACGAGGCGGTAGGGCTGAAGAGAAGGGCGCCTCTTGAATCTCCTCCTTCGTCAAGCCTTCTCAGATCCAGGATAGAGACAAGATCGGGTTCGGCTGGTGAAGACGATTGGGTTTCCTGAGCATGTGTTGGAGGAAAAGCGCGATATTCCTGTGGTGGGAACTCCAATACCTGGGAACGACGCTGTTGGCTATTTTGCTGCTGGTCCTTGTTCCAATAGTTATTCCAGGCTTGCAGACCCTGGTCGCTCATCCATCGAGCCCCTCGTACAAATTCTTGTGTGACACCTCTAGCGACTTTATCAAGAAAGCTCTCACCTGCACCAACATCAGTTACACAGGTAGTCGCTGGCAGTGAGGGCGGACTGCGCGTCTCAAGACCAAAGACTTTGCCTTGCACTAAAGATGCAGGTACCATTCCACCAAGAGATGCCCGATATGTGACCGACGGGGGTGCGATCGCTAGCCATCTCCCGTTCAGGGCGAGAATCGGATTATCGGACCGGCCAGAGCCTTGGGGCGAGTCGTTTCGCGACCTGTCCCGGTCGGTTGAACCCGAAGAGGTTGAGTATCGCCTGGCTTCCCTTGGCTGGATGCTAGTCCATGTTTTCCCTAAGCAATGGTAGTTTCTTGTGCTATAAATATATACCTCGCCGCTGATTCCGGACGCCAGGACAAGGTAGCGACTACTTATCAGAAGCCTTAGGTTCCCAGAGGGTGAAGGCGCAAAGCCCGCAAGTCCGGGGATGTTCTCAAAGCATGGACTAGGCTTCGTTGCAAATAGCGTCGTGATGTGGTCTCCTGTCCTGAGCGAATATACCTCAACTCTTGTTTGGTAAAAACGAGTGTCATCCCTGCTCTGGTGCTTCTCGGCATTAGGGTATTGTCCAAATGGGACGCTGGCATCATTCGCCTCAGAGCCAGCAGACGATGCATGGCCATCATCGTCAGACGGAATACAAGGACCATGGACAATTACGGCGACATGGGGGCGGGATGTCGAAATCGAGTCCTCGCACGTGAGTATCTTTGCTTCAATGACCCTGCCGTTGAGTCCTTCCAGTCTTCCAATCACGCACGTCTTGCGATCTTCGACGGCCAGAACTTCCAAGATACCGTCGCTACCAACTACAAGAACGTTCCCTCCCATCCTTGATGACTTCAATGAGAGACTGGAGATCACGTCAAAGGCGCAGAATGAATATTGCTCGTCAGCGGGTGGCCGGCTTTGGTTGGCATACGATGGAATATCAATATCCGGGGCTCTGTAGAAATGGGGCTGTGGCAAATGTGGTGGAAGTATCCGGTTACTGAACGGCATGTTGAGAGAATGGCTCTTGTTCCGATCTACGGACTGTTGCCGGGATATACTGCTGCCGGTGTAGCCATTTCCGTAACTTAGGGGTCTTGTCCTAGACGGGGGAGAGGCCGAAGATGGATTGCTGAAGCCTCCTTTATCCTGGCTGGTAAGGAAGCCGCCAGAGGGTGACCCATTGGCGAGGTCTTGGTCGACATCGTTCGGTGGGCTCTTTCCAAACGGGATCGACCTGGCCCAGGTGTCTGTTCGCGAGGCGAGGTCTTGTCCAGGCGTGTCCCTGAGTGAACCCAGAGCATCAAGCACCGGTGATACAATGTCGTTACTGGCCCGTGACTGTGGCTGTGGCTCCTGAACGGGGTCTGGATATGACGAGGGCTCCTGCGACGGTGGTGATCCTTCTAGGCTGTAATGCATGGTTAACCATCGATACCCAAAACCGGATAGGCGGACTCACAAGTCTTCCACCAGGTTTTTGGCCGTCACCTTGGCCTTACTCTTCTTCTTCTTCTTGCTCTTTCCACCAGTATCATTGTCTGGCCTCGCAGGGTTTGTATCATCCGCAAGATTATTGTCCCCGAGGAACCGGCTCTGCTGGCGAAATGCGTCGTCCGAAGCTGCCGGGGACATTCAAATGGATGACTGCCTCACTGAGGCAGGGTGGTCTAGCACAAACAGCCGCTCTCAAGACCCTTAGACGCGGCCTGAGAACGGGAGGTGGCGGTGTAGTCAGACTGTAAATCGGTCACTTCACGGCGGTATAGATTCGAATGTCTACCTAGAGACGGTAGAGTAAAGGAGCTGTCAGCGTGATTTATGGAACATCAACAGTCGGCAGTTCACCGTCTGAGGGGCTTCTCACAGTATATTCTGAACGTAGTGTAAATCGTGAAATCAGAACTGAGGTCAGAGACGGGGTATGTGGCCTTTGCAGAAGAGGAGGGCGGGAGCCGAGATACCGGTGTGGGTATCTCGATAGGATTCCCGATGATAGGCGTCGATCCGGGGAAATGGAAGCCCAGCTTTGTTGTTGAGCTAGGTGCGCTTCGAAGGAGAGAGGATATAGCGACCGATGAATGTGTGCGGAGGCCCGAAGCTGATCGAAGTAACTAGAGTACAGTAGCAGGTCAGGGAGTTGTCGGAAGTTAGGGAGTAGATAGGAGAGATATGGGGGGATGATGGGGTCGGAGAGGGGGAGGGGAACCGGATCAGGTCAGGAGTATCTGGAGCACTTACTAGTACAGTCTGCTGACGAAAGTCAGTTTGTTACTTCCCCCCGACTCTCATTCTCTGGCCTGGAACTATTGTTAATCATCCTTTGAGTCATCGCGCCCTCTCTTTGTAGACTCGGGACCTGCGCTGCAGGAACCAAGGTTATTGTTTTGAGGGTTGAAAGCCCCCCATGACGAGGCGGGCAGCGCGTCCACGGGTCCACGTTGGTGATCAACCTTCCGTCAACAAAGATCATGGGAGGCCTACCCGGCAGCTCTCTATTCCGTAACAGCCCCATATCTACCGCAGCGGCTGGTCATACCTTATTGTTGCCACCATTCCCCTTTAAGAAATCCGCCCCCTTATCCATGATGGATCCATGATAGATTGTTGTATGAGTTATAGTGATCCACATCCTTTGTCACTTGACTATTATGTCATGAATCATGATAGGTTGGCACTACCCATACATAGCAGAGCTGCGTACAGGACGTACCGTACGTAGATCTGAAGCCGCCGCGCTCACCTGACTTCGTTTTATCATAGAGCATAGGTAATTATAAAAAACAAATAAATAAATAAAAAATAAATAAAATAATTAGACCCACCCCCCTTATCGAACCCCGCTGGGAAACAGATCCTCTCCAGGCCCGAGGCCATTGCAAATATAAGAATGTTAAAAAAAACAACCGAGACGGGATTCGAACCCGCGATCTCCAGTGCATGTGATAATAAGCAATACCTTACTCCAACGGAACGGAATAAAGTTTACCCGAAAACTGGCGCCTTACCACTAGGCCACTCGGCTTTCACTGAAGTACACCAGATTTAACCTTCACAGACCTAGACGTAGCAGTGGAGATGGCCGTCAGGGCATAGGCCAGGCAGAACAGAACAGCCGGAGAAACTATAAAATTACATGGCTCGTGGTCCTTTATGAAGGCTCCCAGACCGATAACACTCAGAGTACCCGAGGATATTCGAATTCCTGTAATATAATGCAGCACTGCAGAGAAAAACGTGGTCGAGCACGGGGGGCCCTGCAGGGAGGTCCTGCAGCAATGTCGTGCCTTTTGAATCGCTTTAGGGATCTAGGGCTGGATCTCAACTTGTAAATTGACCAAAGCCGCCTGTGCAGCAGAGGCTGTACCCTCGCATGGAATTGCTAAATGAGTAGAAGCAATGTTCCTAGGATTCTGATGAGATTTGCACTGGCTCGCACTGTAACCCTCCAGCTGCCAGTGGTCATTGTATTTGTCATAGAAGACTGTGCTAACCGCTTTTCCAAGCATAAATTACATAAGCACCCCTCTTATCCAGAAATCATCCGGAAATTTTGGGTCTTTCCCCTCGCCGATAAGAAGAAAGAAATTGCGGCCACACCTTAAATCTGCCATGCTTTCCTTCTGATCTTGGGCTTTGCATATCTATCACTCTCGTCTTTGATATACGTTGTCGACCTTTTGTAGTTAAAGGGATGCCTCCCCGGAGGAGAGCCGTGGCTCCTGTCAGCGCGCGCACTGCGCAATCTTCAGAGGTATGGCTCTCCGCAAATTCTGTGGTTATTATATGCTAAGGAACCGGCATACAGGCCACAGCAGCATCTAAAACCGCCTCGGAGACCTCGCGACGAAAGCGCGCCTCCCAGACCGTCGCAAAAGAAGCAGCGAATTCCGAACAGCCGTCGAACAATGAAGACAATGTCGTGGCTACAGAGGAAGCAGAGCCAGTCCCGGAACCACTCTACCCATACCGCCACCGCGATCCGTTTGACGCGCTCCTGGAACCTTTCTATTATAACAAGTCCCTGACCGATCCTATAAACACCGCCAAAGACAAATGGAATTTGTTGCCGGCTTTCCTGAAAGTTAAGGGTCTAGTGAAGCAGCACATTGACTCATACAACTATCTCGTCGAAGTGCAGTTGAAGAAGATCGTCGAGGCAAGCAACACGATTCGCAGCGACGTGGACCACAACTTTTACATCAAGTTCACCGACATTTACCTTGGTTTCCCTCGGCGTGCGGATGAGCCTCAGGATGTGCTTGCGGAATTCGGCGAGTCGACAGTTACTCCGCAGGAATGCCGCCTACGTGATACAACCTACGCAGCCCCGATTCAGGTCGACTTTGAGTACATTCGTGGCCGACAAAGAGTGAGGCGGAAGGGTGTGGCAATCGGCAGGATGCCGGTTATGCTTCGCAGCTCGAAATGTGTTTTGGCCAACAAGTCTCCGGCAGAAATGTCGGTTCTGAACGAGTGCCCTCTTGATCCTGGGGGATACTTCATCGTTAACGGAACCGAGAAGGTGATTCTTGTGCAGGAACAACTGAGCAAGAACAGAATTATCGTCGAGACGGATCCCAAGAAGGAAATTGTCCAGGCATCGGTTACAAGGTGAGAATCATTTGTCCCATTCGGGTGATCAGCTCTAACATATATCTTAGTTCTTCCAACGAGCGCAAGTCTAAGAGTTATATCGTCCTGAAGAAGGATAAGCTTTATGTCAAGCATAATGTCCTGAGCGAGGACATTCCGATTGCCATCCTTCTCAAGGCAATGGGAATCCACACGGACAAGGAAATGATGCTCCTAGTTGCTGGAGTGGACAAGGTCTATCAAGAAGACTTTGCCATCAATTTCGAGGAGGCTATCAAGGCAGGCGTTTTCACACAGCAGCAGGCCCTCGAATGGATCGGTTCGCGAATCAAGATCAACCGCAAGCAGATGTCGTATCGCCGTACCCATGTGCAAGAGGCCGTAGAGGCTATTGCATCCGTTATCATTTCCCATATTGAGGTCAAAGACATGAACTTCCGTCCTAAAGCCATTTACGTTGCGAACATGGCCCGCCGCGTGCTCATGGCAAAGAACGATGCGTCAATGGTCGATGACCGTGACTACCTTGGAAATAAGAGATTGGAATTGGCCGGCCAGCTGTTGGCTCTTCTGTTTGAAGATCTTTTCAAGAAATTCTGCTTCGACATCAAGATGAACATCGATAAAGTCTTGAACAAGCGTAACCGAGTTGAGGCCTTCGACGCTTGGAGTGTCATCAGCATGCACAGTAACCATATCACACAGGGAATGAACCGGGCCATCTCGACGGGTAACTGGAGTTTGAAGCGTTTCCGTATGGAGCGTGCTGGTGTCACCCACGTGCTCAGTCGGCTAAGTTACATCGCCGCTCTTGGAATGATGACTCGTATTAGCAGTCAGTTTGAGAAGACTAGAAAGGTCAGCGGTCCCAGAGCTCTACAGCCCTCTCAGTTCGGAATGCTTTGTCCGGCCGATACCCCCGAAGGAGAAGCCTGTGGTCTGGTAAAGAACCTCGCTCTTATGACGCACATCACGACCAACGACGAGGAAGGTCCGATAAGGAACTTGATCTTCATGCTTGGGGCAGAAGACATTTCAACCGTGGGTGGGAAAGAGATATATGCCCCCGGAAGCTACACAATCTCTATCAACGGTACCCCAATGGCGCTTACCCGCCGACCGAAGTATTTCCTGAACGCATTCCGAAGACTACGGCGGATGGGCAGAATTTCCGAGTTTGTCAGTATCTATATCAACCACCACCAACGTGCTGTGCACGTTGCAACCGACGACGGGCGAATCTGCAGGCCGCTTATCGTCGTCGAGAATGGCAAATCCCTTGTTAGAAAGCATCATCTCCGCAAGCTCCGTGATGGAACTATGCAGTTTGATGATTTCCTCGCCCAAGGATTAGTTGAGTACCTGGATGTCAACGAGGAGAATGATTCGTTGATTGCTGTCTACGAGAGTGACATCACCGACACTACCACTCACTTGGAGATTGAGCCTTTCACTATCCTCGGCGCTGTCGCTGGTCTGATTCCTTATCCTCACCACAACCAGTCTCCACGTAACACCTACCAGTGCGCTATGGGTAAACAAGCGATTGGGGCTATCGCGTCAAATCAGTTCCTCCGTATTGATTCTATCCTTTACCTGATGGTCTACCCGCAGAAACCCATGGTTAAATCACGCACAATTGAATTGACCAAGTATGATCAGCTCCCGGCTGGTCAGAACGCGACTGTGGCTGTGATGAGTTACTCTGGTTACGATATTGAGGACGCGCTGGTCCTGAATAAGGGATCGGTCGACAGAGGCTTTGGACGCTGCCAGGTCTTCCGCAAGTATGTCACTAACCTCAAGAGCTACTCCAACGGGACAAAAGATCTCTTGACTCCTCCGACGTACGAGAATGGTGCTCCGATCAGGAAGCATGCTCTCTTGGAAAGCGACGGACTGGCTGCTGTTGGAGAACAAGTCAACGCTGGAGAGGTTTATATCAACAAGTCCACGCCCGATCAATCGATGTCCTTGGGATTCAATGGCTCCGACGCAGGTCGGCCTGTTAGTTACAATGCGACTCCAATGACGTACAAACTTCCCGATCCTGCCCTCATTGACAAGGTCATGATTTCGGTCACGGAAAACGAGAATCAAATAGTGAAGGTCCTCACCCGACAAACTCGACGGCCGGAAGTCGGAGACAAATTCTCTTCCCGTCACGGACAAAAGGGTGTTGTGGGTATCATCGCCGAACAAGCGGACATGCCGTTCACGGATCAAGGCATCAACCCTGACATTATCATGAACCCCCACGGTTTCCCCTCCCGAATGACAGTCGGAAAGATGCTGGAGCTCGTTGCCGGTAAAGCCGGCGTTCTATCCGGTCAACACGGCTACGGCACGTGCTTCGGTGGAAGCCCCGTACAGGAGGTGTCCCAGATTCTGATTGACAAGGGCTTCAGCTACGGTGGCAAGGATTACCTCACTTCGGGTATCACCGGCGAAGCACTCCCCTTCTACGTCTTCACCGGACCTATCTACTACCAGAAACTGAAGCACATGGTCCAAGACAAGATGCACTCACGTGCGCGCGGACCACGCGCCATACTCACCCGTCAGCCAACAGAAGGTCGTTCCCGAGACGGTGGCCTGCGTCTCGGAGAGATGGAGCGTGATTGCTTGATCGCGTACGGTACCAGCCAGCTCCTCCTCGAGCGCCTAATGATCTCATCCGATCGCCACGAGGTCGATGTCTGCGAGCAGTGCGGTTTCATGGGCTATCTCAACTGGTGCCAGCGCTGCAAGTCCTCTAGGAGCGTCGTGAAGATGGTCATCCCGTATGCCGCGAAGCTCCTTATCCAGGAACTAATGAGTATGAACGTGACGGCTAGGCTGAAGCTGGAGGACGAATTCCCTGAAACGAAAGGCCGTTGAATCCGGTCGATGCTATACATGGGAGAAAAGTGATATTGCAAATTTGGCGTTGGGCATCCTGTATATCTTGCATAGCGACTACCTAACTTCTAGATAATATAAATTGAGCATTATGTCTTTCCATATGATTCCCCTTAATATATGCCCCTCTTCCCCTCACTTCGATAACCTCGGACAGGGCCCCTTCCACACTACCTATAGAGTAGACCCCATCAACATACAGATCCCCCGACGACTATCGTCTTCAACTTTCAGAACCGACCAGGTCAACCACCAGCCAGACAAAAATGCCAGAAGTATTCCAAATCCCCCGCGAATCCCTCACCTCTCTCAAGGACAAAGTCGTCCTCATAACCGGTAGGTTCTACCTCGCCCTAATATCCCCCAGGATACCTAGTACCCAATACAATCCAACCATTCCAAGCAGCTAAAATAAAAATTCCAACCTCAGGAAGCACATCCGGCATTGGTCTCGCAACCGTCTCTCTAGCCCTCTCCCTCGGCGCCAAAGTCATAGCCGGCGACATCAACCCCTCCCCCGCTGAGAAG